TCAAGGCAGCTCCTAGAAGGAGCATGCTCCCAGATGCGTTTTCCCGGCTCCGAAAAATGCATTTGGACAATCCGTGCTAGATGTGTTTTTTCGGCCAGGCGAAACGCATTTAGACCCCGTGCTGTTTTCGCGCTGGCAGTCGTATAGCGGTAGTAGTGGTAGTAGTGGTAGCAGTGGTCGTAGGGGTAATGGTGGCTGTAGTAGTAGTAGTAGGACTGATAGTAGTAGTTGTCGTAGCATTTGTGGTAGTAGTGGTCGTAGCAGTGGTAGTAGTAGTTGTAGTAGTAGTAGTAGTACAAGAAGTAGTAGTAGTAGTAGTAGTAGTAGTAGTAGTAGTAGTAGTAGCAGTAGTAGTAATAGTATTAGTAGCTCGCCCGGAAACACGCCAGATGCGTTTTTTGGGCCCGGCAAAACGCATCTACACGTCCTGCTCCTTCCGTTCCTATGCTCGTTTCCGGAGTTGGCCCCGGACCATGGTTTTCGGCAAGAATGAAAGCTAGATGCGTTTTTTCGGCTCGGCAAAACGCATTTAGACCTCGTGCTGTTTTCGTGCTGGCAGTCGTGTAGTAGTAGTAGTAGTAGTAGTAGTAGTAGTAGCAGTAGTAGTAGTAGTAGTAGTAGTAGTAGTAGTAGTAGTAGTAGTAGTAGTGGTAGTAGTAGTGTGTACTGGTGGGTGGTGGTGGTAGTAGTAGTAGTAGTAGTAGTAGTAGTAGTAGTAGTAGTAGTTGCAGAAGTAGTACTAGAAGTGGCAGGCGTAGTCGCTATAGTAGTCTAGTAGTACTAGTAGTAGTAATAGAAGTACTAGCAGTAGAAGAAGCCCGCCACTCAGGCCCACGCGGTGGACAACGACGGGTGTCGCATGCGTTTTCCGGACCCGAATAAATGCATCTGTGCGGTTTGGCTGAAACCGAACCGATTCGATTCGATACCGATAGCGATTCGAAACCGGTCGCGAAAGGGGGCCGGCCATCCATGTTTATGCTTCCCACCCTTTCCTTTTTGTTTTGCCTGACAAAACATGGTCGGGGCATGGGCATGTGGGACTGCGCTTTCCCAGTCATGGCAAGAGGAGAAGGAGGAAATGGAACCAACCTTCAAGTGAAGGATTGGTGATGAAACATGGAGAAACGTAGACAATCCATATCAGCAACCCTGCTACATGGTTTATACTGGCTTATATAGTTGCTACCCTGCGGTGTGCAAATTTATGGCACCGAGCACGCGTATTTCCTTCGAGAGGAGACCCGGTGGCGCCCAGTTTCGTTTTTCATGGGTTGCCTCTTGACTTGGCGAATGGCTTTATATTGTGAGTGGCACTTGATTGCCTCTTTTCTTCCGCAAGGGGCTCTAAAAGGAAATCCCTGTTCGCTAAAATCACTCATTTGGTTGTGGGTCAAAAGTAAATCAACAGGATATGGACCGCAGGTTTTAGTCCATGTTTCCATTTACTAAGGTTCCATTTTGGGTACCTATTTTTGACCCACAGCCATTTTGACATTCACACGACCTCACCCCAAATGGTGGTTTATGTGGGGAGTATCCTTTCAACCGCCTTATTTCAAGTTGATGAAAATACGTACCCAAAATGGAACTCTGGTAAGTGGAAACATGGACCAAAACCTGCGGTCCCCGGGTGGTTGTATTTTGACCCATACCCAAATCCCTGTTTGTTAAAACCACTCATTTCTTCCCCAGAACTAACTTTTTTTTGGGGGGGGGCTTTTTTGGGGGTCCCCTTTGTTTTCCACTAACGAGGCACACATTATTTTTTTTGCTGGGGTTCAAATTCCAGCCTAGATTTGACATCTCCCCAAGCAGTTGGAGCCGACCTCAGTCATCGCCCGCAGCCCAAGCCTAGTTCGCGGCGAGGACAGCGGACTCTCACTGAGCTGGTTTTTATGCCGCACTGGGTCCACCTTTCAGACATGTTGTGTTTTTTTCCGCGGAAGGGGAAAGGGGGTTGCTTTTGAAATGAGAGAACGAAGAGCAGGTGCCCCCTTTTTTTACCCTGGAACTCCCACGCTTCCGAGACTCGACCCGTGTGCGGCGCGTGCCAGACTTAATCCTCTTGAGATCTGGCCCCGGCTGTGGTAAACATTGCAAGTGTGCGGCCATCTTCCTCGCGGTGACTTTTCAGCGGGATAACATGGCTGTGGTTGTCAAAACCGTTTTGGGATCCCATTTTGGGGGATTGGTGAATTCACCACCCATTTTAGAACCTATTTTAGTGGGGATTGGGACGTGCACTGGGGGTACGATTTGGCTTTTGAACCATGGCCAACATGGTGAAACCAGTTGATTGATTCTGTGGTCCTTTTCAGTTCTAGAGTTTGCACCAAACCTAGGTCCCGCAGTAGTGCCCTTTTACCTTTTCTTTTCTGGGGGAGGGTTCCCCTACTAAAATAGACGGCCAGAAAAAGTTGGTACCCTATCTTCCAGGTACCCTCCCACAGGTGCCATCTTAGTGGAAGGGTACCCTTATTCTAACCTCTGTACTGGAGGACCTAGAAACACAATGAATTTGTAAACCAGTTCGAAAGACTTTCGGTTACACGGCTTCACCTTTCCGGGGGCATCAAATCCGATTGTAGTGATTATATGTGATGCACAACAAAAGTCCGGGTCCGCATGGTTGTTGTTGGGAAACATTTTTCAGTTTGCTTATTGTGGCTTAGTGGGAAGTCCCCACTTAACTGCTAAAACTTAATTTTTGCTCTCCTTCCAACGTCAACCAAGTCCAGGATCTGAAAAAGCAACGAGTCAAATGCAGCATTGGCATCTTTCTTGCGTTTCTTTGTTGCTACTGTTTTCGGATTTCCCATGGGCCCCACACGCCACACACACACACACGCCCGTAGTGAAGCTTATATTGACAGTCATAATTCACAAGATACAGGTTTCCCGCGCGTTTCACGCTATAATACATGAGGTTGTGAACATAATATGGGAGCTTCCCCCTTTCTCCCTTTCTCCCTTTCACTTTTTAGAGGGAAACCAAAAGGAACGCAACCAGCTTAGGAGCTCCCTACGTTGTTTCCACTTCCTCTAGCTTCGGATGCGCAACCCCACGATGCAACCCAACACTTCAGGAAGCTGGCCGACCAGTGGGCAAGTCACTGAACAAAAAAGTCCCCGGTCACAGAAACACGGCATTCACCATGTCTATGTGAGCTAAACCAATGGGCGGCAACCGGACTCAACCGCTGAGTGAGCTGTCAAGCTGTTGGATATACGCCGCGAGCCAAAACCTTTTGGATGACGAGAAAAAAATATCAGGGCGACCGCCACCCAAGTCGCCCAAATCGAGCGGAAGGACCCCATAAGACGAGCGAGATTGCGAGGGGAGCTCCCTAATCTACGGGTTCCTCCATGTTCTTGTGTGGAACCTCGCAAAGTGGCGGAGTTTCAATGGAAGCCACCAGTAAATTGATCAACTTTTGATTTGGGGAAATCCAGTCACCCGTGTTCCTTTTTGAATTCCATGGCACCAATCGGTTCTTCATGGGGAAAGGTCCGTCGAATCCATGTGCGAAGCGCGCCCGGAATTCCTTGAAAGCGGATGGGAACGGGAACCAACTGATTCAGGTGTTCTCATTTTTTACATCGTTGCTTTCCTTTTGGCACCTAGGTGAATGAGCGGTCAACATTTTACTTGGGAGTGCGTGATAGTGCGTGTGTATCAAAATAGCCCCCCCTCCCCCTCCCCCCGCGAACAAAAAAAACAAAGAAGCAAACATCACAAAGTAGCAAGCAATATCATATTCGTCTCCTTGTGGTTTGTCTTTGAACCATCCTGAAAAAGTTACCCTCCTTTTAAACCTTCAACCCTACGCCTCGTTGGCATCAAGCGGATTTTTGTTGCCATAGGGCCAAAAAATGGATCATTGAGTCAGAGCCACGGCAGGGTGAGCCTTGCAGATTCATACTGATGGAAAAGCGAAATCGTTCGCACAACGAACTGAGACCATGGTTGAAACCATTGCTGATTAGGAATTTGCAGGGGAATCAAATCATATGATTTCTTAGGGGCAGGATTTCGTCCATCCGCAGTAGTGACTGAGTGAGGGGCCCTTAATTTAAGTACTGTTTAGGGGCTGTGACGTGCTTTTCCTAGACTTCCCTTTGCTATGGCTCGAAATCAGTATTGGAAAGAACAACTTCGATGCTAGATTGGCCAAGTTAGTACCTGGTAGCCCACTATGGACAGGGTTAACTCCACCTAGGGAGAACCTATCACAACTTAAATTAGCCGAGCACCCGAGAAGGCAGCCATGCAGCCAAAATCGGGTTGCCAAGAAGTCGCCTGAAAGATTGAACAATACAAACAAGAGATCGCCAGGTCAGGTTACAGTACCACACGAGGCGAATATCCATGGCGCTCCTTGGCAAGTAGGTAGCTGTCTGAACGTGGCACTCTGAGACACGTCTTTGGGTTTTTGTGAGAGGAACCCACCAAAGTGGCTGTGTTTATTCCTGTTTCACGCCAAAACGGGCGCCCTCAAAACGACATTCATACGACATCTCAGGGGCTGAACGCTCGACTCATGTTCCGCTGACGCGGGCTGACGCAGACAGAGACGTGAGTTTCACGGAACTCGCAGGAAACCTTTCGCAGGGACGAATATTGGGAAACGCCTTGCATTTGCTTGCCCTACTCATCACGAAATCCGTGGACGGATCGGTGTTTGGCAGTGTTTCATTTGGTGGAACACGATGCAGGGTCAAAAAGCGGCGTGGTGATATGCGACAACTTAACCTTGTTTTAGTTGGCTTCACATATCCAAGTCGGGCAACACCCACGAGCTTGGAACGATCCTAGCCTAGGTTTTTCCAGTAGTGCCCTTTTACCAACTTTTTTTTTGGGGGGAGGGGTTCCCCTGACTAAAATAGACTACCGAAAAGTGGGTACCCTAAAACCTAACCTCCCAAATCTGGAGGACCTAGTTTGCGTCAACACATAGCTTGCCAACCTTTCTTGGCACACCCGAGTGGGTCGCCAGGAGCAACCCGAGAGCGCTGCAAGCAAAGGCACATCCTGAAAACAACCGGGCGGACTGGGGTTTTTGGGCATCCCAAAGCTTCAGCTTGTTCTCCTCTTGTTCTTCTTGTTTTTGAGGGGGATTTACCAAAAACATGAAGGGACCAACTTGGAACAGCAAGCAGGAAGTCCAAGTCATTGCGGCAAGGCTCCTTACATACATAGGTGTCTTTGTTGGTTGGTTTGCTTGAAAAATCGAGGGCCCTGGTTTCGATGGGGTTTATTCTATTTACCAGAGCCATCTATTTTTCCAGAAGGCCACCTATGCTTACCTATGCTTTCGTTTGGGTGGTAGGTTCTTTTCGACTTTTCGCACGGTTTCTACATCGTTGAGTGTTGATTCCAGGTCCTGGTCGGGCACTAAAAGGACAACCGGGGTTGAGGGATACGGGCTGAATCTAAGGGTGGAAGTACATACCCCTTGTTCATCCCCTTGACTTCCCCTGTTTCGAACCCACTTTATAAGGGCTATATACCCATTTTTTAGGGGGAGGGGTATGAACATCAGGTCTTGTGGGTTCATGAACGACCAGCTTTCCGGATTGGCACTGGCGAATCAGAGGTTTGTTGCAAAGGCGATTCTAATCTGGCCTGCATTTAAGAAGCTTACAGTCTTACAAGCATGTTTTTTGATTAAAAAATCTGCAAATGTTCGTGTGAAGTCAAGGTAACAATGATGAATAAGTCGTAATGAGCAGGCGTTGATGTTCGTGTAAAATTACGGTAACAAGGCTGCAAAAATCGTAAGGAGCATGTAGTGATGTTTGTGTACAACTGGTGAAAATGATGAATATGCGCTGATGTTCATGTAAATTTGCAGAAACAAAACATCAGCAATATGTGACAGTGTTTGTGAAATCATGGGGAAACAGCGGGTTCATGCTCATTTTAAACCAATGTACCTTGCTTCGTAGGATGCCAAACAAACATGGTGATGTGAGTTTTTTGGTGGTTCTGTGGTGGACAGCGTTGGCAGCGCCTGTCTTGTCGTCCAAGCCAGTTCTTCCTCCCCAGGCAGACAGGCGCCAGCGATCTCATGGCAGTTTTGCAGCTCCTGTCTCCACTACCAGGGCGAGCACGGTCCTCCTCCCCCCAAACAGACATGCGCCAGTGATTTTAACGCAACAAGGCTGGCCAAGCTTTGCTTAGTTACCCTGGTTCCTTCGACAGTTTCATCAGTTCGTTTGTCATGACTTGTTCAGCATGGCTGCCCCGTAGCTGAAAAACATATCCTGCGCATCACAGTTTTTTGCACTACAAGAAGCACCCCCGTTCCCCCTTTGACACCACAGTTTCCCCACTTGCGCCACAAGAGTTCCGCCTGTGTACAGCAGTTTTCCCCCTTCGCACCACAAGAATTTCCAACGCATAACGCTGTTTCCCCGTTTGCACCACAAGAATAGCCCTTGTATACTGCAGATTCCCATTTGCGCCACAAGAATTCTCCGTGTTTGCCGCAGTTCTCCCCTTTTATTTTGCACCGCAATAATTTCCGACGCATACCGCAGTTTGCACCACGCGAAGTCCAGCTGTATTCCGTGGATTCCCTCCTTTGCACCACCCAAAAATCGTCTAGTTTCCCGCATTTGCGCCACAAGAATTCTCGCTGTGTACAGCAGTCAGCAGTTTTCCCCCTTTGCACCACAAGAAGTTCCCACGTATATATAGCGCAATTTTCCCCCATTGCACCACGAGAATTGCCTTCCTTTGCACCACGAGAATTTCCCGTGCTTTCCCCTTGTGTGGCACAAGAATTCCGCTTGTATACAGCAGTTTTCCCCCAAATTTGCATCACAAGTTCCACGCATACCGCAGTTTCCCCTCCCCCTTTGCACCACAAGAATTCCACCTGTCTACTGCAGTTTTCCAATTCCGCAGGTTTATTGCAGGTTTGCCCTTTTGCAAGAGAATAACTGCCCCTATACTGCAGCTTTCTCTCTTCGCACCATGAGAAGTCCCCTGTTTACCCACAGATTCCCTCTGTGCACCACAATAATCCTGCGCGGTTACTGCAGCGCCCTTGTTGCACCACAATGATAGCCTCTTTGCGTCGCAGTTTTCCCGCTTGTGCACAACCGAACTATACCGCAGTTTTCCCCACAAAACGTCCGCCCGCGTACAGTCTTCCCCCTTTGCGCCACACTATTTTCCCCGTTTGCACCCCAATCTCCCACATATACCGCAATTTTCCTTCCCCCTTTGCACCACGAGAATTGGTGCGAAGAGGATGTTCTCAGGGAGGATGAAGTGGCCTGAGCAACGCCAAGCGGGAGGCGCCGGCATTCGAAGGGGGAAGTTGTAATAGACACGCGGAACTCTGAAGGGGGGGGGGAAACCTGCTGTATAAAAGGGCAATTCTTGTGGTGCAAGGGGGGAAAACTGGCGTTCACAAAGGAAAACTGGGGAATTCTTGTGGTGCAAAGGGGGAAATCTGTAGAAAACAAGGACGACCAGACCACTCTCGGTTGGTGCAAAGGAAAAACTCTGTTGTGCGTTGGATGTTCTTGTGGTGTGAAGGGGGAAGCCACGGCATACAGCTAGACTTCTCGTGGTGCAAAAGGGGAAAACTGCGGTATAGATCATGTGAAGTTCCAAGGGGGAACAACCGCGGTGTATTCTTGTGGTGCAAAAGGGGAAGTTTGCGGGGCACAGGTGGATTTCTTGTGGTGCAAAGGGGGAAAACTCTGGTGGTGCAAAGGGGGGAAGCTCTTGTGGTGCAAAGGGGGAAACTCTTACTCTTGTGGTGCAAAGGGGGAAACTCTTGTGGCTCAAAGGGGGAAACTCTCGTAGTGCAAAGAAGGAAACTCTTGTGGTGCGAAGGGGGAAACTCTTGTGGTGCAAAGGGGGGAACTCTTCTCGTGGTGCCAAGGGGGAAACTCTCGTGGTGCACGGGGGAAACCAAAGGGGGGAGCTCTTGTGGCGCAAAGGAGGGAACTATTGTGGTGCAAAGGGGGAAACTCTCGTGGTGCAAAGGGGGAAACTCTTGTGGTGCAAAGGGGGAAACTCTTGTGGTGCAAAGGGGGAAACTCTTGTGGTGCCAAGGGGGAAACTCTTACTCTTGTGGTGCAAAGGGGGAAACTCTTACTCTTGTGGTGCAAAGGGGGGAACTCTTGCGGTGCAAAGGGGGAAGCTCTTGTGGTGAAGGGGGGAAACTGTTGCGGTGCCAAGGGGGAAGCTCCTGTGGTGCAAAGGGGGAAACTCTTGTGGTGCAAAGGGGGAAACTCTTGTGGTGCAAAGGGGGAAACTCCCGTGGTGCAAAGGGGGGAACTCTTACTCTTGTGGTGCAAGGGGGGAAACTCTTACTCTTGTGGTGCAAAGGGGGAAACTCTTACTCTTGTGGTGCAAAGGGGGGAACTCTTGTGGTGCAAAGGGGGAAACTCTTGTGGTCACGGGGGGGGAACTCTTGTGGTGCAGAGGGGGGAACTCTTGTGGTGCAGAGGGGGAAACTCTTGTGGTGCAAAGGGGGAAACTCTTGTGGTGCAGAAGGGGGAAACTCTTGTGGTGCAAAGGGGGAAACTCTTGTGGTGCAGAGGGGGAAACTCTTGTGGTGCAAAGGGGGAAACTCTTGTGGTGCAAAGGGGGAAACTCTTGTGGTGCAAAGGGGGAAACTCTTGTGGTGCAGAGGGGGAAACTCTTGTGGTGCAAAGGGGGAAACTCTTGTGGTGCAAAGGGGGAAACTCTTGTGGTGCAAAGGGGGAAACTCTTGGGTGCAAAGGGGGAAACTCTTGTGGTGCAGAGGGGGAAACTCTTGTGGTGCAAAGGGGGAAACTCTTGTGGTGCAAAGGGGGAAACTCTTGTGGTGCAAAGGGGGAAACTCTTGTGGTGCAAAGGGGGAAACTCTTGTGGTGCAAAGGGGGAAGCTCTTGTGGCGCAAGGGACAGACCCGAGCCCCGTGCGAAGAGCTGGAGGTCAGCAGGCGACGAGCTGGACAGGCGCCTGTCAAGGGAAACAATGGGCAAAAGTGCATTTTCCTAGTTTTCCATGCCATCTCCAGGCCTGCCATCCAATTTCCCTTTTTCCGTGTTTCTGCCACCTAGTTGTCCATGCCATCTCCATAATCATATCCAGACCCCAAATTTCCTTGCTTTTTGCTACGGGGAAAACCTGGCTTCCCTTTCCCACCCGGGAACTCTTGTGGTGCAAAGGGGGAAACTCTTACTCTTGTGGTGCAAAGGGGGAAACTCTTACTCTTTGGTGCCAAGGTGCAGAGGGGGAAACTCTGGTGGCGCAAAGGGGGAAACTTGTGGTGCAAAGGGGGAAACTCTTGTGGTGCAAAGGGGGGTGGTGCAAAAACTATTGTGGTGCAAAGGGGGAAACTCTTGTGGTGCAAAGGGGGAAACTCTGGCGGCGCAGAGGCTGAGGGACAACTGAGCCCCGTGCGAAGAGCTGGACAGGCGCCTGTCTGCAGGCGACGAGCTGGACTGCGTGCGCCTGTCAAGGGAAACAAATGGGCACAAGTGCATTCTCCTAGTTTTCCATGCCATTTCCAGGCCTGACATCCAATTTCCCCGCTTTTTCCGTGTTTCTGCCACCTAGTTTTCCATGCCATCTCCATATCCAGACCCCAAATTTCCTCGCTTTTTCCGTGTTTTTCCGTGTTTTTGCTACGGGGAAAACTTGGCTTCCCTTTCCACCCTTTCCGTGTTTTTGCTACGGGGGGTTTTCCATGCCATCTCCAGGTCCATATCCAGGCCCCAAATTTCCCCGCTTTTTCCGTGTTTTTGCTACGGGGAAAGCTTGGCTTCCCTTTCCACCCTTTTAACGGAACCCAAATCAGAACCCATTCCGCGCGCGTAGGGCGGCGCTTTGGGGTCCCGGGCACGTGATGTCTTGTTGCGGAGCCTCTCCGCGCGGCGCATGTCTGGTTGCTGCCTGGAGCTGCCTGCAGGCCCGGCAAACTTGGATTGAGCAGCTTTGCGGCGTGACATGGCACACTGAGCTCGAACAATGTCGCATTTTGACCAGATGCAGCAGTGGCAGTGAAACAGCG